CCCCATCCTCCCTCCATGAACTTCTGGGGTCAGCCAAAGAAATCTTATAAGATTTCAGGGAAAGGTGGGCAGATGGCTTATGGACATAGGGAGGTCCTGCATCTTATGGTGGGTGGAGGGTGAGTGGCCCTAGGCAACTTCTATTGTGGAAGAAAATAGAAAGCAAATTTTAGATATTTATATTAGGAGTTTCCCACCTCACATAGTGTGTCACATATTGATTAGTTCTTACTTTGTGTCAGTGTGGGCAAACTTTTGACTTCTGAATGCTCTGGGAACCAAGTATTAAATCTTTGTAGGGTTTGCCTTTTCATCTGGGGCTGAAAGGTAAGTGTTCTAGTGATCAGTAATGAGACAATGTCATCTCGAATTATCTCTTTTCCTACCCTTGACAGCCTTTAGTAGTTGAGTTCATTACTATGCGAATTTCTCTTCTGTTAGGGAACTTACCTTCCTTTTTAAAAATATGCAGTGTTATCATTTTATAACAGCTTTTAAGCCCAAGGGAATGACAACAGACTTCCAGTTGCAAAATTTTATGAAGAACTATTTCTCCTGTAATGCACATGTATGCACAACCTATTTATATAGAAAAGTATCCAAAAAGTTACTTTGGTAATTTTAAAGTTACTTTATTTAACAATGTTGATGAACTGTGATAGGGACTCTGTTAGGTGGACCTAATCTTTCTGTTATAACACAAGGCCCAGTTTGATTGAATTCAGTTTAATAGATCCCCCAAAGGTGGGTTTTAGTAAGAAAACCCCCCTTCAGAACGTGACAGAATTTATACACTTTTCAACCAATTGTTTTAGATCACGGACTTCCAGCCCCTTTGTTTGCTGAAATCTTAGGAGATCAAAACCTCAGATTGAATTTGGTTATATTCCATTTTTCTTTAGAGCTTTGATCTCCCCCTTGGAATTTATCAATAGTTTCATTCTCTTTCATTTTCTTTAGACTTTAGAAACTAAGTGGTGACATCAGGAAAATGTCATCTGGGTAAGCTCACAGCCTTCCTTTGAAGCAGCACATGTTCCCTGGGGCTATAGGAAAAGGCAAGCTAGCAGATATAGCAGGATGTCTGTGGATAACTCATTCAAAGATGAAAGAGACACATTCGATGCTTTCCTCTTATAAGACAACAATTGGAATGAATGCATAGATTTATTCACCTTTAATATTTTCTCATGAGAAGACATCAAGATTTTCTTCTGCCATTGTAATACGTTAAACTAAATAAAACCCATATCATATTGTGCTGATGTCAAAGCAGACAACAATGATATTTTAGGTATAGTTTGTGGGGGTTTTTAAATCTGAAAGTGATCTGAGAAATTAGAACAAGTGCTAGAGATATATTATGGACACCTAATAAGACTGACCCTTTGAAAAAGTCATCTTTAAAGTTTTACAAAGCATCCTGGATTTTAGAGAAACTTACTGAAACCGTAATAATGGAACATCCCAGGGGTCTGCAGTACTTAGGTAAAGTAAAAAACTACAAAGGTAATTCTTTCCCGTCTATAACTCAGCATGCTACAACCCTCTGCTATATGGGTCTCTTTGTAACTCACATGGACAGGACATTGTGGTAGAATTTGTTTGATAAAGTCGTTATTTATGAATAGGAGGTAAAGGAAGTAGTACCGAGGTGGAGAATACAGTTTTAAGTTCTTGAAAACAGTGTTTTGAGAAAATATGAGCATTGTAGAGAATTTACCACCGCACAATAAATAGAAATATAATGGCTTTCATCTTCATTACACGGATTTTTATGTGCAGCTAAAAACAATTTGAAAAATGTAATGAAATTACCCCAAACTTTTACTTGGAACACAGTTGGGTTATTTTTCCCCAGCTAATTTAGGAATGTTCTTGTGGAAAATTTTCTAATGAAAATTAAAATAAATCCTATTAATTTCTAACTAAAGATATACATATAAAAGTTAGAAAATATATTAGCCGTGCAGAGTAATAACCAGTGGGTGAAATGTATCCATTCTTGAGTGCTATTATATAATAACCTCATGACCTTTACTGTGGTATGAGTTGGGTTTGATGTCTGGCTGGAAATTGACAGCACTAGAATTTGGGCAGAAATTTATCCATCCTTCTAGACTATGGAATTCGTAATATACTTTTTGTCCAAGTTGTTTAATGTTCATATGTGAAGTTCATTTGCAAATCTAAGATTTTAATTGGTTGTTGCTTTTATTGGGTAGATTTATGTAAGCATAATTCTACTAAATTAGATACCACTATTAAGAAGAGTAATGATATATTTTTCCACCCTAGAAAATACATTTTAAATCATTTTAACCCACTATAAACATTTTGATAGTTTTTAGAGACCCCTCATAAAGCATTTTTTAAAAAGCAATTGGGTAGTGTTTGAACATAGAGTAATAATTCATACCAATTACATTGCTAAACATAAGGTCTTAGGCCCAATAATATATCATAATTCATACCGTATGGTCTGATAGCAATTAAAATACCATCATTAAATATATTGCAAATATACATAATTGTTGAAATCCTGCTTATGTGGAATAACATTCAGTGCTTTATTATCCAGAATAGTACCTTTGTTTATTTTTTTGACAATGTTGTAATAATTAGAGAACTTTTCTGAGTGTACCTTTAATATATACGGAAACCTGGATTTTATCTCATATTATTATTACTACTAATACTGTTACTACTATCATGGCTATTGATGCTTTTGAGTCTCTGCTGATTTTTCTATTATGTAAGTAGAACAAGTATAATCAGGTGTTCTAAAGTAGTGATTAACACATACCTGACATTTAATTCCACCGTGGAGAAAACAAACAATTAGAGATTGTGTTTTAGAAAATCTTCAAGGGGTTTGCCCTCTAGCTCTAGAAGGTCAGCAAATGTTAGAGGTGGCAAAATGATTATTCAACAGATTGTTTACTATTTCATGATGCTCATGGTACCTCTAGTAGACAATTGTCAGGTTTAGCTTATGCCAATACAAGCCCCAAACTGTGACCATGTTAATAGGAATAGAAAGTGGTGTCCTTTGGATCCCCAAGTACTTGGGACTGCTTACTTCATGTAAAGTTTACCTATAATAATCTGCCATTAGTTTCACACAATGATGTAACCACAAAAAAGTTATTTAATTTGAAAATTTTAAAGATATATTTCACTATAATAAGTAGAAAACTTCTGTATATCAAGTTAAAATGTCATGGACTTTAATACCATAATGATGAGGGTTTATATTCTGACAGCCCACTTAAAGCTCCAAGCTTCAGTTTCAGGATGGTAATTCACAGATGATAATAATTACCATGCAGCCATATGCCAGTATTAGAAATAATATGTGCAAAGCACCCAGAACAGTCACTCCAAGTGTTCAGTACACATTTGAAACAAGTTTTCACAAGGTGCAATGCCTAATAGTTCACTGTTCATTCTGGTCTAATTAAATATACTGTGTGTGGGGTGGAGAGGCATCCAGTACAAACTTTTAATTCAACCAAGGTTATTAAGTGCCTATAATGTGAAATACATGGTCGAAGAAGTTGTGTATATTAAGGAAACTTGCTTCTTCCAGTGCTTAGTGGCTGAGGTTAGGAAGTCAGAGACGTCAGGGAGGTAGAGGAGGAAGAGACATGGTGTGGGGTTTGGTTGTTGGCTGGAGGCTGGGCAGATCATTGGTTGGTACAGTAATTTGCCAGTTAGCCATGTATTAACTATTTCTTTTATTTTCTGTATTCTGATGCTTTAAAATCTGGGCCTTGCTGATCCTGGAGGAACTACCCCTCCCAGGGCCTAGCCAAGTCCTAGAGAGAGTAAATAACTCCAACCAATTCAGAAGCCACACCCCAACCAAACCTTTTATTGATCTGTCCCACCCCAGGCCCTGCCCTGCCTGGGGCCAGGTACAAGATAACCAGGTTCAGTCTCTGCACCATGGGGTCTGCTGAAGTTATTCAAATTCATATGTTCCATGCCTGCTAACCCTGTCTCACCCATTTCTCCCCATGAAACCATGAAAAAAAGCTTCAACCCACTAGTTCCCTCACTCCCTCTGCCTCCTGACCAATCCTGGTGCTTCTCCCTGTGGCGTCCCCCAGGCATGACCTGGGATTTGTGAGCATTAACAAACTGTCCTCTCCTGGCCTATTACTCCTAATTAATGAACGTGATATTCCTAAAACTGACATATGTCTACATAACTATATCTAAACAATCATAAAGCTTTATTTGAAAACAAACCAGTAGAGCCTGAAGCTTGCAAAAATGTTGAGAAAAACTTAGGAGGGGAGGCTGGATAAATGAGATGGCTTAATTCCCCTACGGCTCTGATCAGGAAGGGGAACCGTTCGTGGGAGACAACAGCAGCAGCAAATAAATAAAACCACAGAAGAACACAGTTGTACCTTTTTATTGGCACAGTCACTTTGCAAAGGCTGGTATGAATAAAAAGTTCTGAGCAGTAAGAACCGACGGTCTGATGCCACCGCTCAGAACTTCCCGACAGCCCACAGAAGCACATCGACAAACAGGCGGTTGCATTACAGGAGAGTTGAGGATTATAGCAGGTGAGCCATGCACGGGGGCTCCGAGGACAATTGTCTTGTGACGCAGCAGCACTGCTCGAACCAGGAAATCTCAGCGTGCTTATTTGTACTGTGTAGACCTTTAAATGGATATGACCCTTTCATCCCAACAGCTATGAATTTGAAGCCGTATGTGCTGTGACGTAAATTTTCCTGTAACCTATGCTGAAGTCAGGAGATGAGATTCAACTAAAGAGCTCACAACCCACATATCCAGAAACACAGGGCATAGGAAGGAACTGCCTCCTAATGAATGAATGAACTATAAAGCATGGGACTTGGTCCATATATATATATATATGCAGGGCGAAGCTAAAACAACAACAGAGTCCCGAGATTCTTAGGTACTTTAGGTTAAAAAAAATGGTATGTAAAAGAAAAAATTTTCTAGAAATAATTTTTAAAAATCTGTATTTTGAAGAAAGGGAGCACCACCAATTGCATCAAGTTATAAAACACAGTAAGAAACATGTAAATAATTTTCAGGTTTGTAATTCCAATAAAACACAAGCACCTACAAAGAAATTAAAACACATGTCCTGTAGAAGGTATTGTAATAAAATGACTGGAGTATGAGAAACATGTGGTCAGACTATATAAAAACAAGTGTACAGTATGCATGGAGCCCTCCTCTCCTCCGCCACAGTCCCCTCTCACCTCATCCACATATTTTTATGGCCTTTCTCTTGCTACATAGGGGTAGCATGGCCCTAGAACCATGGAGCCTGAAAATCAGAGTGTACCCCCATGGAATGGGTAAAAAAACACACACACACGCACACGCACACACACACACACACATCCAGGGAATCTCGGGTATTTAACTTCTGTGTCCTGTGCTTTTCTGTGTAACGCGTGGAGAGAGCACCCAACAGGTCTCAGAGGCAGCCTTCTGTTGAGGTTGCCTGGGATCACTCAGCGGTGTCATCCTGTGGGCCTGGAGTTCGGCCCCATCAGATCGTGGCGTCCCAGAACCCAGAGGGCAGCTTGCTGCAGGGGGGCCCTTCGGGCTTCTTCAGCAGCGTCGGCTTCTTGCAAGGAGGCGGGGGCGGTGCTCTGGGCTCCGAGTGCTGCAGGATCTGCTGCCAGTCTTCCCTCTCCTCACAGAGCTTTCGCCTCCAGTCCAGCAGCTCCTGCAGGGCCACGCTTTCGTTCTCCGAGAGCCTCAGCTGATGGATTACCTGTGGGGGGAAAGAGCGGGAGAAAGGAACACCAAATCCGTACTGGGAGTGAGCGAGAAGTATAAAGGCAACACCTGGATGCCAAGCGGCTGGACCAGGGTCAAAAGAGACATCACCCATTCCCTATAAAACCTCCAGGCACCCAGCAGACGGCATCCGACCGGGTCAACTGTGAGCTGCTGAATTAAGATGAGTGGCACAAAAAACAAATCAGTGAAACATACAGGATAGGTGCACTGGTTAACATGTGATTACCTCTGGTGATACAAGAGACTGAAATGTCTATTTGCCCTTTGCCCTCTATTATTATATACATTCTTATAATGCCGTGTACTTTTTCTTCATTTAACTTAATACAATTGTAATTCTGTCTGATGTTTTTGGATTTCTCAAGGAAATCCCATTCTAGGATCCACTCCATCTATGCAGTTACTAGTCTAATATA